TTCGTCCTTTTCGTCCTTTCCGTCCTTTTTCGTCCTTTTCGTTTTTTTTTTGTCCTTTACGTCCTTTTTCGTCCTTTTCGTAATTTTTCGTTGTTTTCGCTCTTCTCGGTCCTTTTCGTCCTTTTTCGTTCTTGTTCGTCCGTTTCGACCTTTTTGCCCTTTTCGTCCTTTTTCGTCCTTTCCATCCTGTTTCGTCCTTTTTCGTCCTTTTCGTCCTTTTTGTAATTGTTTGTTTTTTTCGCTCTTGTTCATCCTATTTCGTCCTTTTTCGTACACTTCGTCCTTTTTCGTCCTTTTCGTATTTTTTTCGTCCTCTTCGTAATTTTTCGTTCTTTTCGCTCTTTTTCGTCCTTTTTCATCCACTTTCGTCCTTTTTCATCCTCTTTCGTCCTTTTTCGACTTTTTCGTAAATTTTTGTCCTTTTTCGTCCTTCTTGTCGTTTTTCATCCACTTCGTCCTTTTCGTCATTTCTCATCCTTTTTCGTCCTTTTCGTCCTTTTCGTCCTTTCCCGTCCTTTTCGTCCATTTCGTTTGTTTTTCGTCCTCTTCGTCCTTTTCATCTTTTTGGTCATTTCCTTCCTTTTCGTTCTTCTTCGTTCTTTTCGTCCTTTTTGGTCCTTTTCGTCCTTGTTGTCTTTCTTCGTCCTTTACGGTTTTTTAGTCCATTTTCACAATTTTTCAGCCTTGTCGCTCTTTTTCCTCCGTTTCGTCTTCTCGCTCTTTTTCGTCCTTTTCATCATTTTCGTCCTTTTCGTCCTTTTTCGAACTTTTCGTAAGTTTTCGTCCTTTTTCGTTCTTTTCGTCGTTTTTCGTCCGCTTCGTCCTTTTCGTTCTTTGTCGTCCCTTTTCATCCTATTTCGTCCTTTTCGTCCTTTTTCGTCCTTTTAATTTTTTTTTTCGTCCTCTTCGTCCTTTTCGTCCTTTTAGTCCGTTTCGTCCTTCTTCGTCCTTTTTTGTACTTTTCGTAATTTTTCGTTGTTTTCGCTTTTTCATCCTTTTCGTCCTTTTTCGTCCTTTCCATCCTGTTTCGTCCTTTTTCGTTCTTTTCGTCCTTTTTATCCTTCTCTCGTCCTTTTCGATTATTTTCCTCCTTTTTCGTAATTATTTAGCCTTTTCGCTCTTTTTCGTCTTTGTCATCCTTCTCGTCCTTTTCGTCTTTTGCGTCCTTATTCGTCCTCTTCGTCCTTTTCGTATTTTTTTTGTTCTTTTCGTCGTAATTTTTCGTTATTTTTGCTCTTTTTCATCCTGTTCGTCTTTTTCGTCATGTTTCGTCCTTTTCATCCCTTTTCGTCATTTTTCGCCGGTTTCGAACTTTTGCCCTTTTCGTCCTTTGTCGTCCTTTTTTGTCCTTTTGCGTCCTTTTTCGTCCTTTTCATCCTTTAGCGTCCTTTTTCGTCCTTTTCGTCCTTTTTTGTCCTTTTCGTCGTTTTTCGTACACTTTGTCCTTTTTCGTCCTTTTCGTATTTTTTTCGTCCTCTTCGTAATTTTTCGTTCTTTTCGCTCTTTTTCGTCCTTTTTCATCCACTTTCGTCCTTTTTCATCCTCTTTCGTCCTTTTTCGACTTTTTCGTAAATTTTTGTCCTTTTTCGTCCTTCTTGTCCTTTTTCATCCACTTCGTCCTTTTCGTCATTTCTCATCCTTTTTCGTCCTTTTCGTCCTTTTCGTCCTTTCCCGTCCTTTTCGTCCATTTCGTTTGTTTTTCGTCCTCTTCGTCCTTTTCATCTTTTTAGTCATTTCCTTCCTTTTCGTTCTTCTTCGTTCTTTTTGTCCTTTTTCGTCCTTTTCGTCCTTGTTGTCCTTCTTCGTCCTTTACGGTTTTTTTAGTCCATTTTCACAATTTTTCAGCCTTGTCGCTCTTTTTCCTCCTTTTCGTCTTCTCGCTCTTTTTCGTCCTTTTCATCATTTTCGTCCTTTTCGTCCTTTTTCGAACTTTTCGTAAGTTCTCGTCCTTTTTCGTTCTTTTCATCGTTTTTCGTCCACTTCGTCCTTTTCGTTCTTTGTCGTCCCTTTTCATCCTGTTTCGTCCTTTTCGTCCTTTTTCGTCCTTTTAATTTTTGTTTCGTCCTCTTCGTCCTTTTCGTCCTTTTAGTCCGTTTCGTCCTTCTTCGTCCTGTTCGTCTCTTTTCATCCATTCCGTCCTTTTTGTCCTCTTTCGTCCTTTTCGGTTTTTTTCGTCCTTCGTAATTTTTCAGCCTTTTTGTTCTTTTTCGTCCTTTTCGTCCTTTTTCGTCCTTTTTCGTCATTTTCGTGCTTCTTCGTCTGTTCCGTCCTTTTCCGTCCTTTTTCGTCCTTTTCGACCTCTTCCTCCTTTTCGTTCTTTCTTGTCCTTTTTCGTCCTTTTACGTCCTTTTTCATCCTTTCTGCCCTTTTTCGTCCTTTTCGTACACATCGTCCTTTTTCGCCCTGTTTCGTCCTTTTCGTTTTTTTGCTTCCCGAGCGTAAGCCAAGGAAGTAATCGGGTCCATCGGACGAAATGCCAAAGCTACAATAATAATGACTACAAGAATTTTAGGAATTTCAAAAATTTCAAAGATTCCCGAAATTCCAGATATTTTAAAAGCTGTAAAAATGCTAAAAATCCGGAAAATAAAAAAATTCTAAAAATTTTGAATATTATACTACATCTGGAAAATCTAAAGATTTTAAAAATTTTCCAAATAATGGAAATTCAGGAAAAATTAAGAATCCAAAAATTACAAGATCTGAAAATTCCAAAAGTTTACACAATTCTACAAACCATAGAAATCCCAAACAATTAACTGAATTTATAAATTGTCTTCAAATATTGTGCAAGGATTCCAAGGCTGCCAAAAACTATAAACACTATAAGGATTTTGGGTATTCAAAAAATTCTAGAAATTTCTCAAATTCCAGATGTTTAAAATGGTAAAAATAAAAAAAAATAAAATCAATTCTATCTAGAGATGCTGGAGATTGATGGTTTTAGAAATTTTTAAAAAATCTGGAAATTATGGCCTTCTGTGCTTTTTTTGGAATATCCAAAAATTCGTGCTAATTTGGAAAGTCTGGAAATTCTAGAAATTTTTAAAATTTTTCAAATTATGGAAATTCAAGAAAATATAAAAATCCAAAAATTGCAATATCTGAAAATTCCGGAAGTTTACACAATTCTAGAAACTATACATAGAAGTTCTAAACAATTTACTGAATTTCTAAATTGTTTTCAGACATTGTAAGGATGCCAAAATCTCTAAACGCTATAAGGATTCTAGAAATTTTAAAAGTTCTAGAAATTCCCGAATTCCAGATGTTTTCAAAACTGTAAAAATGGTAAAAATCCAAAAATTTTAAAAATCAATTCTATCTAGAGATACTGGAGGTTGATGGTTTTAGAAATCTAGGAAAATGAAGAAATTCTGGACATTTTGTGTCTTTTTGGAATATCTGAAAAATTGTGAACCAACAAAATCTTACACCTCTGAGTGCTGTTTGTATTAGAAATTTTGGAAATTCTGCCAATCTGTGTGTTTTCCAATATCTGAGAAACCGGGCTAATCTGTTAAATCTGGATATTCTAGAAATTTTGAAAATTATTATGGAAATTACAAAAATTTAAAAATATCCCAAAAAACTATAAATTATAAAAAAAGATCCAAGTGTTTTAGTGCTACAGAAGTTAGTGATCAAGAACAATTTTTAAAGTTATAACAACAAAAGTATGAAAGATAAATTGTTAAAAATTTATGTTAATGTAAGTTTTGGGGTCAGCCCCATTTTCTAGTAGTTAACTTTAGCAAGATAAATATGTAGAGAAGAATGAAGGTCCGAACTTGATCTTGGCGATATTTCAATACAAGTTCAAGTTTTTTTTTGCGATCGACTATGACAAAACTGACCAGACGCTATTTTACCGTACAAGGCAAAAAATGCAATCGATCGAAATGACCATGTTCCAGAAATCTAAAAACGTTTATAACACTGCTTTTATTTTTAATGTATATTTTTTAGCAAAGTAAAAAAACGGGAAAAAGTATCCAAACTGCACACCTAAGTTTTTGATAATATTGACTTAGTCGCGTTTTACATGTCATTGTTATACAACATTTTTACTCAGAATACAAACAAAGATAATTCCGGAGTTACGGGTATTAAGGTTTTATAATTGAACCTTGACTGTCTCAACGCAAACCAACTTTAATGCCTGCAATAAACTACTTCAGGCGCGTATTTACAACCAGTAATCGGTCATTCCACGAAAGTCTTAAGACACTCCACAGTCGCTCCAATCCCACTGCTTACATCTTCCGAGAAAAAACGAAACTAGGTCTAAAGATACCCTCCTGGGCCTCCGCTTCACCTACTTGCGACTTCCTGCCGCAGAAGCGGCGCGCACGAAATAGCATTGGACCCATTACAAAGCCTTGCGTAACGCCGCGGCGTCCGGCACCTCTTATAAAACACCGCATGAAAGTGATCTCGGTTTCCAAAACGAATTCCACGGAAAAAACAGGTTCTCGGAACAATTCGGGAAAACCTCGATGAAAGTTGCGGCTTGCACAACATCCGCGATGGCGCCGAAAACGGGGACTCGGGGGTCCCAAGACCCTTTGGCAGCGGACCCAGGAGGCCTCCTGGTTCCGTTGCCGAAATTTTGACCCGCGGCCCCCGGGACTCCGGGGGCCGGCCCCTGCCATCATCCGCATGTACCAATCCTTATATAACTCTACTTTCTTCCTGCTTTCTCTCGCAGCCGCCGTTTCCGCAAAGTGGGGCAGACGGTCCGAGTCAGTTCGGTCCGGGCTTGGAGACGGTTCGCAGTGAATCCGAAAAATGACGCGCTAGTGTTGGAAAAGTGAGTTCGACGATTAAGATCCAGGTAAGGCGGAAAGTGGAGCGGATGGGGCGGTTTGGGCCGAAAGGGCGGTAGGTCGGGGTATCGGGGTCCTCGCGGAAAAAATGGCCTGGTGACCCAGATCTGGGCGCGCGGAGAAAGCGGAAAAATGAGATCGTCTTTGCATTGTGACGGAGACGCGCGGTCTGAATTTGACGGGTTTGGCGAGAATTTTCGGGTCGTTGGGCTGGTGGTGTTCGGGAATTGGTGACCTTAATTGAGGCACAACGGAGTGATAATCGGGTGTTATGTAAGTCTAATTACAAGAGTGTCTGGTGGTCGAAGAAAAGCGGTCTAATTGGTGGGTTCAAAGTCTGCTGTTTTGATCAGGTTGAATGTAAGTGTTGTGGCCCAGATTTTGGTCGGGAGGAATGGGTGGCGTATTGTTGGAGATATCGGTGTGCGGTAAAAGCAAATTTGTTATGTGGTGATTAATACAAGTTTGAAATAATTAAATGTTGGTTTCACACTTTTTTTGAAGACTCGACTTACTTTTTTTTAAATAATAAAATCATCATAACCCGTTCCACCAGATACTTAAAAAAGAAATCAATGAAGTACGGTAAAAATTACCTTGTTAATTGGTGGCTAAATCAAAGTTAAAAAATATGCACACCTTCAATTTTTCTTTTTTTCAAAAACCGAAGCATTTACATAATAAATTCTGAATCATGAAATGTAAAATTTTTTAATCCTGGACTTTGTGTTACAAAAATTGGAATCACGTAAGTAATTAGCACTAGAAATCCCTAAAGTCCTAAAATTCTGACTCCTCAAATTTTTAAATTCTGGAATTTGATATTCTAAAACCTGGAATTACGTAAGGCGAAATCTACAATCCTGTAGACCTAAGATGTGAAATCTGAAATCCATAATGCTAGTTATCAGTCCTGAGATTTTTAAACTTGAAATCGGCAATCGACATCCCTAAAATCCTGAAATTCCGAATCCTGAAATCCCAGATTCCCAAATTTTGAACTTTTAAATCTAAAACCTGGAATTACGTAAGCCGAAATGCACAATCCTAATCCTCAAAACACAAACTGTCAATTTCGGAATCCAGAATACTGAAATCCTAAAATCCTGAATTTATAACTCCTGGTATTTTCAATACTGAAAACTGCAGTCGAGATCCCAAAACTTTTGAAATTCTGTATCCTGAAATCTCAAATTCTTAAATACTGGACTTTGACATTCAGAAACCTGGAATTACGTAACCCGAAACCTAAAGCTATAAATCCTGAAATTCAGAACACTAAATTCCTGAAATTCCCACGTTTTGGATCCAAATATTTTTAATACAGAAATCCACAGACGAAATCCCTAGAATCCTGAAATTCTGAATCAAGAAATCTCAAATTTTTAAATCCTGGATTTTGGGCTTCAAAAATTGGAATCAGGTTAAGTATGACAAAATCCACAATCCTCATTATTTATCATGATATTTTTAATTTTGCAATTCACAATAGAAATCCCTAAACTCTTAAAATTCAGAATCCTGGGACCTCAAATTTTTTAAATTCTGGAATTTGATATTTTAAAACCTCGAATTACATAAGCCGAAATCTACAATCCTGTAGGTCTAAGATGTGAATCCGGAAATCCAGAATACTACTAAAATCCTCAGTTATCAGTCCTGAGATTTTTAAAATTGAAATCGGTAGTCGAGATCCCTAATCTCCTGAAATTCTGAATCCTGAAATCCCAAATTCTCAAATCTTGGACTTTTAAATTTTAAAACCTGGAATTATGTAAGCCGAAATGCACAATCCTGATCCTTCAAACATAAACTGTCAATCTCGGAATCCAGAATACTAAAATCATAAAATCTTCAAGTTATAGATCTTGACACTTTTAATATTGCAATCGCAATAGTGATCCCTAAAATTCAGAAATTCTGAACACTGAAAACACAAATTCTTAAGTCCTGAACTTTGTCATTCTAAAATCAGGAATTACGTAAGCCAAAATCGACAACCCTGAAAATCTAAAGTGTGAATCCTGAAATACAGAATACTGAAATTCTAAAATCCTGAATTTATAATTCTTGATATTATCAATACCGAAAACCGCAGTCGAGATCCAAAAAATCATGAAATTTTGAATCCTGAAATCTCAAATTCTTAAACACTGGACTTTGACATTCAAAAACCTAGAATTACATAACCCGAAACCCACAATCCTGAAAACCTAAAGCTGTGAATCCTGAAATTCTCACGTTTTGGATCCAACTATTTTTAATACAGAAATCCACAGACGAAATCCCTAGAATCCTGAAATTCTGAATCAAGAAATCTCAAATTTTTTAATCCTGGACTTTGTGTTTCAAAAATTGGAATCACGTTAGTAAGGCAAAATCCACAATCCTGGAATCCTCAAGTTACGTATCCTGATATTTTTAATCTTGCAATTGGCAATAGAAATCCCTAAAGTCCTAAAATTCTAACTACTGAGACCTCAAATTTTTTAATTCTGGAATTTGGTATTTTAAAACCTGGAATTACGTAAGCCGAAATCTACAATCCTGTAGACTTAAGATGTGAATCCTGAAATCCAGAATACTCAAGTGCTAAAACCTCAGTTATCAGTCCTGAGATTTTTAAAATTGAGATCCTTAAAATCCTGAAATTCTGAATCCCGAAATCCCAAATTCTCGAATCTTGGACTTTTAAATTTTAAAACCTGGAATTACGTAAGCCGAAATGCACAATCCTAATCTTTCAAACAAAAACTGTCAATCTCGTAATCCAGAATACTAAAATCCTAAAATTTTCAAGTTATAGATCTTGACACTTTTAATATTGCAATTCGCAATAGAGATCCATAAAATTCAGAAATTCTGAACACTGAAATTACATTTTCTTAAGTCCTGAACTTTGTCATTCTAAAATCTGAAATTACGTAAGCCAAAATCGACAACCTGAAAACATAAAGTGTAAATCCTGAAAACCAGAATAGTAAAATCCTAAAATCCTGAATTTATAACGCCTGATATTTTCAAAACTGAAAACCGCAGTCGAGATCCCAAAAATCTTGAAATTCTGAATCCTGGAATCTCAAATTCTTAAATACTGGACTTTGACATTCAAAAACCTGAAATTACATAGTTCGAAAACCACAATCCTGAAAACCTAAAGCTGTGAATCCTGAAATTCAGAACACTAAAATCCTGAAATCCTCACGTTTTGGATCCGAATATTTTTAATACAGAAATCCACAGACGAAATTCTTTGAATCCTGAAATTCTGAATCAAGAAATTTCAAATTTTTAATCCTGGACTTTGTGTTTCAAAAATCGGAATCACGTTAAGTAAGGCAAAATCCATAATCCTGAAATCCTTAAGTTATGTATCCTGATTTTTTAATCTTGAAATTCGCACTAGAAATCCCTAAACTTCTAAAATATTGAATCCTGAAACTTCAATTTTTTTAATTCTGGAATTTGATATTTTAAAACCTGGAATTACGTATGTAGAAATCTACAATCCTGAAGACCTAAGATGTAAATCCTGAAATCCAGGTTACTAAAGTGCTAAAATCCTCAGTTATCAGTCCTGAGATTCCTAAAATCCTGAAATTCTGAATCCTGAAATCCCAAATTCTCAAATCTTGGACTTTTAAATTCTAAAACCTGGAATTACGTAAGCCGAAATGCACAATCCTGATCATTAAAACAAAAACTGTCAATCTCGGAATCCAGAATACTAAAATCCTAAAATCTTAAAGTTATAGATCTTGACACCTTTAATATGGCAATTCGCAATAGAGATCCCTAAACTTCAGAAATTCTCAACCCTGAAATCACAACTTCTTAAGTTCTGAACATTGTCATTCTAAAATCAGGAATTACGTAAGCCAAAATCGACAACCCTGAAAATCTAAAGTGTGAATCCTGAAATACAGAATACGGAAATCCTAAAATCCTGAATGTATAACTCCTGATATTTTCAGTTCTGAAAACCGCAGTCGAGATCCAAAAATCTTGAAATTCTGAATCCTGAAATCTCAGATTCTTAAATACTGGACTGTGACATTCAAAAACCTGGAATTACATAATCCGCAACCCACAATCCTGAAAACCTAAAGCTGTGAATCCTGAAATTCAGAACATTAAAATCCTAAAATTCTCAAGTTTTGGATTCAAATATTTTTAATACAGAAATCCACAGACGAAATCCCTAGAATCCTGAAATTCTGAATTAAGAAATCTCAAATTTTTTAATCCTGGACTTTGTGTTTCAAAAATCGGAATCACTTTAAGTATGGCAAAATCCACAATCCTGAAATCCTCAAGTTATGTATCCTGATATTTTTAATCTTGAAATTCGCACTAGAAATCCCTAAACTCCTAAAATTCTGAATCCTGAGACCTCAAATTTTTTAATTCTGGAATTTGATATTTTAAAACCTGGAATTACGTAAGCCGAAATCTACAATCCTGTAGACTTAAGATGTGAATCCTGAAATCCAGAATACTCAAGTGTTAAAACCTCAGTTATCAGTCCTGAGATTTTTAAAATTGAAATCGGTAGTCGAGATCAATAAAATCCCGAAATTCTGAATCCTGAAATCCCAGATTCTCAAATCTTGGACTTTGAAATTTTAAAACCTGGAATTACGTAAGCCGAAATGCACAATCCTAATCCTTAAAACTAAAACTGTCAATCTCGGAATCCAGAATACTAAAATCCTAAAATCTTCAAGTTATAGATCCTGACACTTTTAATATTGCAATTCGCAATAGAGATCCCTAAAATTCAGAAATTCTGAACACTGAAATCGCAAATTCATAAGTCCTGAAATTTGTCAGTCTAAAATCTGGAATTACGTAAGCCAAAATCGACAACCCTGAAAATCTAAATTGTGAATTCTGAAATACAGAATACTAAAATCCTAAAATCCTGAAATTATAACTCATGGTATTTTCAGTACTGAAAACCGCAGTCGAGATCCCAAAAATCTTGAAATTCTGAATCCTGGAATCTCAAATTCTTAAATACTGGACTTTGACATTCAAAAACCTGAAATTACATAACCCGAAACCCACAATCCTGAAAACCTAAAGCTGTGAATTTTGAAATTCAGAACACTAAAATCCCGAAATTCTCACGTTTTGGATCCAAATATTTTTAATACAGAAATCCACAGACGAAAACCCTAGAATCCTGAAATTCTGAATCAACAAATCTCAAATATTTAAATCCTGGATTCACAATCTTGAAATCCTTAAGTTATGTATCCTGATTTTTTAATCTTGAAATTCGCACTAGAAATCCCTAAACTCCTAAAATATTGAATCCTGAAACTTCAATTTTTTTAATTCTGGAATTTGATATT